AGTGATGTTGTTATCGACAAAGTATACGCAGCATACGGGCGACAGCTTCCTGTGACAAAAGTTTAGCTGCTCTTCGCCGAGACAAGCAACAAGGTGGTCATTTGTCATATCGATTGTAGCTCTTAGTGAGTCAGATTCAGTAAGAAGGCATTTCCTCCAATCATATCGTGGTTGCACTCTCTGTTGCACGTTTGGCGGGTATTTATACAATATTGAGGAATGGGTGTCATGAGACTTCAAATCTCCAAAAGTGGAGGACTTCGCGTGAATTTATCATCCTCCTAAACCCAAACCCAGACCTTCCTGGACATTAGCCATAGGGTGAGCGAGGTTAAGTCATGCCACTCATATTATGAGTGGCTCCGAGACGGCTAGTGGAAGAACGGGGCCAAGAACCCAGCGTATGCCATGAAAACGGTACCAGCTTTGCTTTGAAGGCAGATTCTCTCCAACGGAGAATGGGTACACTGCCGGCTAGTGGTGCTGTCTCCTATAAATATACTCAGTTTACATTCTACCTTAAATAGGTCACTTCGCTCTCTTTCGATATAAGGGGACCTGTGAACTGCCGTTCACTGAGAGTTTGCATACTCTCGGAAGCTAACTTCCTCTAGCGCAAGGTGCTGTGTGACCCCTTCACAGCCAGAGGTTTTGCACTAAGACTTGCACATTTGAGAACCCTAATAATTTTGTGGCCTTTTTTCAATTTTTGTAATTTTGGCATTCATAGGCTGAGTCAGAAAGATAGCTGCGGTCCGTAAGCTGTATGGAACGGTCTTTTCGATCTTTTCGGCAAAAAAATCGAATTTCGGTTCAAAATGTTTTTTTGCGGTTTTTTGTGGTTTTTTTGTCAACGTTGCCATTTCACCATGGTCCTTCGGAACTCGTCGCAAGTGGACTAAATGACTGGCTAACCAAGCTTGGTTGTGCCTTCGGTTCTTGCCTTTCGCGTTGGGCATTTCCAATTCTTCAATCAATGGGTCGGGTACGCAAAGAAGGTGTGTGGTCTCATTTCAAGGATCATCCCAAGGGGAAGTATAAGACTCGGCGGGTGAAGTGTAATCACTGCACTACGACCATGTCTGCGATGGTGAAACATATGCAGCGCCATATCATCAACTGCGAGAAGATATCGCGTGGGTGGGGGCGCATGCTACTTGAAGACAACGTTTTGGTGGAGGATTTGGAGCGTCAGTCAGAAGGAGCCCAAGCTTTGCGATCTATGGCTCAGCAACTGCAGGCAAAGGTGTATCCACACTATAGCAAGGACGAGCGCGATGCACTGGATCGATCATTTGCAAGGGCGATGCACGAAAGTGGAGCAGAGTTCGGTATGTTTGATCATACTGCTTGGAAAAACGTTTTCGATCTGCTTCACCTCCCATGGTCGCCTCCATCTTCCTCCGAGCTATCTACGACACTCCTTTCAAGTTGCTATAACGACGTCATGCTGGATGTGGCGCGAGCGTTGCGCGAGTCCCCCGCAGTTACGCTTGGTGTGGACGGCGCGACTAATGTTCTATCGAGGAGTTTGTCCAATGTCATTGCACATGATCCAAGACCATGGTTTGTCGAGTACTTGCGCGCCGATCTGAAGAAAGAGAGCGAGCCCGAGGTGACTAAGAAGGTAGAAGAATCTATCACTCGCATGCACACTTATCTCGACCGTCCAGTTGTGTTCGCTTTCGTATCGGATAGTTGCAACTTGATGAGGGCTGTTCGCAAGTCGTTGCAAGATCACAATTCTGTTGCCTTTGCTTACGGATGTGGAGCTCATGCGCTCAACAATTTCTGTGAGGACATCGTGAAGAAAAGCTTATCCCGGGGTAAAAGCTTTTGTTCGCAACGCTGTCTACCTGAGCAAGATTGTGAAAAATACTGGCTTACTCAACAAAAAAATTTCGAGTCTGTGCTTCGATTTTATTTCAGCGGCAGTACACAATGGTGTTGTACTCTGCATCGCGTTGGAGCAGTGTAAACTATATGTTCCAGCGTCTTGCAAAAGTCAAGAGACCGATGACCGCGGTTGTGACCGCTGTGATGAACGAAAAGGTGGAGCGCAACATTGACCCCTCGTACCAACTTCCAAGCGAGTTTACAAGTATAGTCATGGATCCGCAGTTCTGGGGTAACGTATCGTGGCACGTCAAAGTGTTCGATCCCATTTGAAAATGCATCGGCGTCATGGAGAGCAACTCAGCCACAATGTCCACTGCGTACGCTTGTTTTGTGTATGTATTCATCCATGCACGGGAAACTTTCCCTGGCGACGCCCTGCTCACGAAGTTGATCCACAGATGGAATCGCATTCAGAGCCCAGTTCACGCATTGGCATTCTACTGCGACCCGTTTTATCATCCTTTTCGTTTGGCTGTCGCAAAGCTGTACGGACAAGATCCTACTGAGCTTGGCAAAGGGGATATCTGTGCTCAATGCCGTTTTGCAATTGAACTAGTATGCCGTGAAGACCAAGACCAGAAGCGTCGAGCTCTTGATGACTTCCTCCGGTTTTGCACCACCGAAGCTGAGATTGCTTCTGAGTGGAGCAGCATTACCCAGTTCCCCCCGCAAAAGATCTGGACGCAAGGACGAAGCAAATTTCCTGTTCTGGCGGAATTGTTAGTGAAGGTCTACACGTCTCCAGCATCGACGGCTGGTGTAGAGCGTCAGCATAAGGTGGGGAAGCGTATCCACTCTTCTGCGAGAAACCGTCTTGGAGCGGGGTTGGTCGAGGAGCAGGCTGCCGTAGCTCACAACGCTGCCGTCGCGACGATGGAGGCACCTCTACAACGAAAACGTTTTGAGCAGCACATGGTCTCGGACTTTGTGATGAAGGCGGGTCTACAAAGTGGAGGTGGGGATGCACGTATTGACAGTGGAGAAGCTCGTGAACCAGCCGACTAGGTCGAAACAGCAGGCGCCGAAGAAGGTATTGCCGAAGCTCTAACTGAAGCGGAGTTGATGGAACAAGCTTACTAAGCTGGGCCCCAAATGTATTGAAAAGGCCGAGTGTAGCCATACAAAAAGGTAGAAAAAAGCAGCCAATTTTTTTACAATACTGCTAGTACTGTAGTAAGTCTGAATGAGGCCCCATCGGGTTTCGACAGGGACTAAATAAATGTTTTCTGACAGGTTACAATACAGCTTCATCGTACAAGGTATTTTGTCTTCATCTTTCGTGGATGGTCAGCCTACAATAAAACTATTTGTGAATAGGAAGCTGCTTTTAAAAACTGCTTTAAATGAGCACTGAAACGATCCGAAACTGTTATTACAGGGTAAGCGAAATCGCTGGATTGTCTCGGGACACTGGATAAAATCCAGAGAACAGGTGCAAAATTATCCCCCCCCCCACCTTCTTTTCCCGCGTGCAACCTTATCTCATTCCAGAATCAGCGGCTCGAGGAACTATGGTAACTTTGTACTGTGTCGTCGTTGGTGTGGCTGGGAGCGCGTTCCCTGTGGACATTGACGAGAACAAGTCCGTGGGGCACTTGAAGGACGCGATCAAGGAGAAGAACGCATCGACGATCACATGCGACGCCAAGAACCTGCAGCTCTTCCTGGCGAAGAAGAAGAAAGGCGCTGGGGTAAGGCTAACGGAGAACGACGTGAAGGACGGTGTCAGTGACACGAGTGATTTGAAGCTATTGGGCGTTGCAGGAGCGCCGCTCAGCTTGGTTGGCTTGTCGGAGAAGGACGTCAAGTTCGTACCCACGCTAGAGGATGTCGAGTCGATGAACACACCTGTTCACGTGCTGGTGGTGGTTCCGGAGCAAGACGGTACTATCTCAAAAGAGATGTCTGCAGCGACATCGCCACTGACAGTAGAGCAAGTGGAGATGTCAATGAATAAGGTTCTCAGGGAACGAGATGAGAAGGCGTCTGCGTATTCGTTTTCCGATCTGAATACTGCGATGGAAGAGCGAATTGTCAAGAAGATGCGCTTGACCGAAAATATTCCTGATGTCAAGGAGCCAGTCGATACTTCCATCGCCGGTTATTCGTGGATTCCAAAAATCGTGGAGAGCGAGGAAAGTCAAAGGGCTGGGTACATGGAGTACTTGCAGCAGCATTTGAAGACGCTGATCGATCGAGGAGACTTCTTGTTGGATGACATTGCGGGCGATAAATCAGTTCTTAACATCGTGGACCCAAGACTTCCGTTTGCTATGAAAGGCACAGCTGATGTATTGCTCATCAATCGAACAGCGAAGAACCCACTGATTAAGCTGGCTGGGGTCAGCTTGGTGATCGAGCTCAAGAAGAAAGTCGAACCGGGCCATGTTCCTCAAGCAATTGGTCAACTTGTGAGCTGCAGCATGAAGGCGCCTCTCAATTGCTATCCGCTGAGTTTGTTGACGGATTTAAACGACCACTGGCATTTCTCTTGGTTCAGCGACAAGCACGTTCTGACCCAAGTTACGTTGAAGTATCCAAAGAACGCGTTCA